CATTGTCGGTGTTAAGCCCTTTGCTTGGGTTTCAGGCTTTCTCCCAAATCTGTCTCCTCTTAACTTACTCCTATCCTCTCCACCTCCCAGCACTCCCATCAGCTGGGGACAATAAAATGATAGGGTTATGGTGAAGCTTAAATGATTCTGTGTGTGCACAGATGCTCAGTAAATGAGCCTCCTCCCCTCCACTCCAGCTAAGCTGCTTGGTCTGGCTCTCTTTGTATAAGGAGGTGCAAGAGGCAGTACCAACCATTGTTCAGGGTATCCAGCTCTGGCCGGGGGTCAGAGAATTTCTACTCCTGGCCTGGCCTCTGAGAAGACCTGGCCAGCAGTACTTTCAACCCTCCCCCAAACCAATCCTTTATTTCCTCATTTGCAGAATGAAAGGTCTTGCCAATCCCATAATTTCTCAATAGGGGTGCTATGGGCCTTTGGGGCAGGGTAGGAGGAGAGCAATTCTTGGTTGTAAGAGACCCTCTCAGGTCAGACAGGACAGTTTAATATCTTTTTTTTTTTTAAGATTTATTTAATTTATGCAGACAGAGCTGGGGTACAGGCCAGAGGTGCAGGGGCTTGAGAGGCTTCACCAGAGACAGAGTGGGGAGCAGGACAGGCAGATCAATGAAGTACACTGCTGAGGGGAGCAGCAGGTAAGACAGGAGAGGTCTGCTACGCCATGTGGATCACCCCCCTGGCCAGAGATCCAACTCGTGCTGAGGTGGCTGCGGCCAGCTTGTAGTGCTGTGTCCTAACCTGTTGTGCCATCAGGGAGGGCCAGTTTAGTATCTTAATAACATCCCCAGAGCCACCACCTCACATTCCCAACCCTTTCTTCCATGCCCCAGGGTAGAGATGCCTATGGGAAGTACTTGCTTGGTCCTTACTAACTCTGATCTTCTATCAGGCTCTGGCTCTTCAATTGTGTCTAATACCTTTAGAGGACTTGGTTCTGTGTCTCCTCCATAGTGCCTAGAGAAATTTGGGATACACCCCCTATTGGGAGCCACGGTAGCCTCCTGGGAGAAGCTGCAGCCCAGGCTCTGGAGTCACACTGAGAAACTTCAGTCTGGTTCTGTCACTTACCAGCTGTGTGATGGTGGGAAACTTACTTACCCTCTCTGAGCTCCAACATTTGGTTCTATAAAATGAGTGATGATAAGAGCACCTGCCTCACAGTGTTATTAGGAAGGTTATATAAGATAATAAATGTAAAGCATCTGCAAAGAGCTTGGCTTGTAATTAAATGCTCAATAAAAGGTTTATTGGGCCATTTTGGGCAAAATTGAATCTCTTTCCATTTTCTCATCGGACAAGGATAAGTGCCACCCTTTCAGGGCTGTTGTGAGGCCAAAGTCAGCAATGCATAATCATGTCTAGCAAAGGTGGCCCTCAGCAGGGCACATAACTGGTAGAAGTATGAATGATTTACCATTTTTGGCGGTCAACTAAACAGCATCTTTCAAAATGACAAATCAATGTAGCTTTTTTGCCAGAGAAAAGAAGTCTGTCTCTTTTTTCTTACAGGTATACCTCCACATGCACAAGATAACACATGCATAATATTTATATTAGCAAAAGATGGAAATAACTCTAAATGCCCATCCCTGGAGGACTGGCTAAATCAATTGTGGACATAACTACACTGGAATACTAGACAGCTGTAAAAAGGAGCGAGGGTGTTATTGATATACTCACATAGAAAGACCTCAAGGCATACTGTTCTGGAGAAAAAAAGAACTGTGTGTTGTAGTTGCCTGCACTTGGGTGCTTGTCTCCGTGTAGACGATCCGCAAGAAATCCCACTAAATCAGCAGTAGCAAACTTAGTCTTCAGGGAGGGCAGGTGGAGTGCCATGAAGGGAAGAAGGCTTTTGTGAGAGTGGAGCCATGTGCATATAAAACCTGTGAGCTGTCTAAGCCAAGCCTGAAGTGAGGTCCTGCGCTGGGGAATGACTGTGAGTCTTGGCTCCCCCAGTCCCAGGCATATGGCCCATTGCTCTCGCTGCTGCAGAGCACATTTCCAGAGGCGCGGGTGGGGGCGAGGGGGAGGTTGGCTGGGGACCAGAAAGCACAGCACCCCCTTGGGGCAGGCAGCATCTTGGTAACTTGGAAGGTCACTTTCCCACAAGGGTCCCCACATGTTTGCACTTAAACTGGGGCTGAGGTACTGAGAGCCTGATTGCTCTGCCCAGGACAGCACCGCCCCCAGTCTCCACGGGCATCCCTGTGATTGGAAAAGGAGTCCTTGGGTGGCCTCTCAACGGCTGTCAGGGAGGAAATGTCACAGATGGCCCTGGCCCTGCTCCCTTTTCCCCTGCCTGGAGCAAAGGAGCTGCCGCTATAGCTTTGAAGGGATGAGGTGTCCGTCTCTGAAACAGATTCTGCCTCTCAGAGGAAAAGGATATGGCGTAGAACCTTCAGTCAGGCACACTTGGGCTCTAATCCCAGATGGGCCTCAGTGTCCAGAAGGATCCAGGCCCTCCACAGATCTGTTGCCACAAATGAAGGGATTATCTGCAAAGTGCATTAGCACGGATTCCTAACTGAGGCAAGGGTTTGAGTACAAATAGTTTATTTGCAGGTGATCTGGGGAAGTATTGGTGGAAGGAGACAGGCAAGGAGGTGAGCCAATAAAGCTTGCACTAAAGAGCAGTTTGCACCCTTGAGCTCATTCCTGTGGGCTTTTGCACAACTGTGTAGAACAGGCCTCAGAGTTATCTCAATGATGGACAAGGCGGGGCGTGGGAGAGGCAGGGGTTACGTGCCAACTCCCTATCTTTCAGGGCTGTTATGGGCACTTAAACCCCTTGGCCTCCAGCTGTCTGGAGCTCCGGGTGAGCAGCCTGGGTGGGTGCCTGGGCTTCTTTGTTGTCAAGCAGAGAATCACAGGTGCTTGCAGTTGGACAAAATCCAAGAGCTGGGCCACCAGTATCTGTCACACAGTACTTCAGCATGTCTTGTCACTGTGGTAAGCACTTTGCAAATATTAACACATGTAATCCTTACTACAATCCAATGAGGTAGATGAAGACAATGAAGCACAAAAAGGTTAAATAATTTGCCCAAATTCACCCAGCTAGAAGGGGCAGCCAGGATGTAAGCTGGGGGGGGGAGCTCCCCAGAAGAGCTTGGGGACCACCTATTTAATGGTGTTCTCCTTATTTAATGGACTAGGAAAATGATAACCAGAGAAGGGAAGCAATTTGCCTGGAGTCACACAGCAAGCTAGTGACAGAACCAGGACTTGAACTCATATCTCCCGTTCCCTCTCAGACCCTCCCACCTCCCAGCTTGACTTCAGTTTCTTCTCCTCTGAATGACCAGCCTCAGGAGGGGTCACTGGCAGGTGGGGGCACGTGGAAAATAGCATTCTGCAGAGCCCTGGGTTCTGCAGTGCGGAAGCCAGGGGGCCATTAGTCGGCTGGGAAGACGGGCATGGCAAAATCAGATTATGATCTTTAAGATGCATGCTCTGAATCTCAAAAGCAGCAAAGGAATCAGGACCCAGAGGAGGCGTGTGTGTGTGTCGTCTGTCCCTGCTTTTTAACCCCAGGCTGGCATCAAAGAGGAAAAGACGAGCTGGGCTCACTAGGGTGTGAAATTTCCTTTTTGTCTCCTGAGGTGGGGAGGGAGAGATGAGAAATTGCGATGTACCCCGTGTGTAATTAAAGGCTCTAGAATTTCTTGAGGATTATGTTGCTCAAAGAGACACAGGAGGCTCTTGTGGTGAAGCTGGGCCCGACTGACAGACGTGCCTCTGGACAGACTAAGGGAGGTGAGGAAGGGTGTGCGTGGTGTGTGCTTGGACTGAGGGGAAATCACAACTGACAAGATGTAAATTAACTCTTGGAGCTTCATACTTCTCAGAAAAGCCAAAAACGGGGACTGGCAACAACCTTCTAGAATCTTCGCCCTTGCATTGCCAAATTCTCAGTGGGTCATTGCAGACAGGGCTGGCACAAGGGTGACCTTGTCCCAATTTAGCATTGGAAATTCCCCATCCTGAACCCCCCTGTAGTTCTGAACAAATAAAGATGGCTGGTCACCATAGGAATGGCCCTTCGGTCCCCCTCCTCCCAGGGCTAGACCGATCAATTGTGGCACAGGACTGGTCCTGTGGGGCTGGATGAAGCCAGGGCAATGGCAAATGCTGGTCTGCACCCAGGTCTCCAGCTCTGTCTGTGGGTCTCCCTGTCTTTACCTGCTGCTCCCACAAGTCAGTCATACTCTGGTGAAGAGTCCTGCCTGCTCTGGGGAGGGGGAGGCCCATGATTCCCTCTCTGATGGGTGAGGGGTGGGGGCGTGGCTGGCTGGGAAGGAGCCTGGTGTAGAAAGTGAGGAACTGAAACCAGGCTGTGCAACCTGGGAAATTCCTTTCCTTCTCTGGGCCCAGATGCAAATGAATGGGTGAGATGGAAAGATTGCTCTGGGGATAGGGAAGATTTATGCTCAAATGATGAAAGCAATGCAATTGTTTGTTGGAAAAGATTCAACAGGACAAACATTTATGAACAAGAAGTGAAAGTCCCTTTTTGCTCCTTTTCCCATGGGCAACTACTGTTAGGAAGCTTTTTTCATCTTCCCAGGCATTTTCTCTGTATATGCAAGCACGTGTGTACACAGCCCTTATTTAAAACCGAGCACAAATGAGACCGTTCTCTCCCTGCTATTCTGCAATTCCCTTTTTTTTGTTTAACAATGTATCTTGACCATTTTTCCACACAAACACAAATCTTTTTCATGCTTGCGGTTGTAGATTGCTTTGCGGGGAGCATACACCATTGCCTGTTTAACTAAACTGCTGGTTTGGAAGGACTCTACCACCTACCTCCCAGGCTCACTGCCCTGGTGAAGAAGAAACAAGGAGGGCTGAGAAGGGGTGGGGAACATCAACAGCTTGTTAGTCCAGGAAATCTTAGTGCATGTCACATTTCTCCTCTGAGAGACGAAAAATGTTTTGGGTAGAGGGATGAAGAGGAAACGTTGGATAATTAGGACATGGGGTGGGGGCCTGAAAATCCGCAACCCTTCCCCCCCCCCCCCACCTCCAGACAACCTCTCTGGCACGGAGGCGGGGCCACAGACACAAGGTTTTGTGCTAATGCAATGTGACAACGCCGATAAGTTTTTTCCATTTCTTTGTCTTTCCTGAGAGAAGCTCTTGATTATCACCTTCTAGGTCACCAGGAACTGAGCGCAGAGGGACAGCTCAGCTCCTGCGCTTCCAGCTGGCTCCCATCAAGAAGTTAGAAGGCAGCCTGCAAATGCATTTCCTGTTATCATCTCCACCCTAGAACGACTTTCCCTAGCGGGGCTGGGGGAGGGGAGGCGGGCGGCGGCCCCTCTGGAGGAGCTGGACAAGGCTCTCAGCGCCCCAGACGGCTCCCGGTGCAGGGGGCGCGAGGCGGGCTGGAGGGCGGGGTGGAAGGGAGGCGCCGAGGCCCGGAGCGGTCCGGGGAGGGTCTGGAAGATGGTTGCCTGGCAGCTGGTGGGAGGGACCGATCTGCGGGCTCGCGGCAGGGGCCGCCCCGGTCCTAATGAAAACGTGTCCTTGCTCCAGGCCGGGCACCCGGACGCACCACCTCGGCCTCTCCCCGCCGCCTGCAAGAGGAAGAGCACTGCCCGCGGACACCCAACGCTTTACTCCCGACCGATGCATCCGTCTCGCTGCGTCTAGATAGATAATACAATCTCTACCCACACCTCATTTGCTAGGAGACAGCCTGGGTTTCTGAATTTTTTATGGGCTCACTTAGCTTGGAGGAAATCCAGAGGTCAGAGCCGGCGCAGACACTCCAGTCACCTTGCCCGTCCGGGCGCGCCGCCTTTCTGAAACCCGCTCACCCACGGGGCCCTAAATTACGGCGATTACACTGCAATTCGCCGCGCGATATTACTTTGATACACTACCTGCTGCAGCCGGGACTGGGAGGCGTGCATTATTTACCAGGGAGGCTGCCGTGCTGCGCACAGAGCCCCCAGCTCTCCCGAATCCCCCCTGTCCTCGCAGCTTCACGTCCACCTGCCGGGTGCAAGGTCTTGGGCTTGGGAGGTGTCGGGAACTGGAAGAGCTCCCCTCTCTCCGAGCTACCCTCTCCTGGCCACAGTAAGGGCTGGGAGAGCATCCCGGGGCAGGAGTGGATGCTGGCGACGAGGCTGGGGGTGAGGAGAGAGGGAGAGATGCTGTGCCTGCCACTCTTCCTTCTTTTAAGGGGATCCCGGCCCCTTTTAACTGGCCGATTGGAGCCCTCTTCTCAAGTGTCTGGTGAACCTCAGGGACCTCAGGAACTGCCCAGAGGGAGTGTGAAGACTCACAGCTGGCTTCCACTGATGGACTGCTAACAGCCTGTTAGCTCCTCAACCAGGATCCGTGATATGTCTGTCGTGGCCGAGGCAGAGATGAACGCTGGTCAGGCTACTCACTTCCCTAGGTTCCTGGTAGCAGAGTTTGCAGCAGCTAAGGCCTGGTTTCACCCTGGCTGGAGGCTGGCCCAGTTGGGCTGGGGCCTCTCTCTGGCTCCCCTTGATGACTTGGCATCAGCATCTAGATTGCAGGTTACTTCTGCTTTTATCCAAAGCGGTCCTTATGTGAGATGGATTTCTGATTGAAATCCAGTCAATTGGCTCAGATGTGTGCAGGGGCACAGCGTGAGCACACTTCAGGGGAAATTGCCCTGAGTCTGGGAGGAGGGCCGGGGGAGTGGACAAGAGCCTCAGGCCCTGCTCTGGAGCCAATGAACAAGCTTGGTCAGTATCCATAGGAGTCCCCAACCGGAAAGCTGCTTTACTCTTCCAGTTCTTAGGGGCTGATGAGCCAGAAACCTCCAGGGGGCTCCCCAGCCTCCAGGGATGACTGTATTCAGATAATACAGTGTGTAATGAGCCTGAGAGGGGGGTTTCAAGTAAGTGCCTGGAGGTATCTATTTGTGGGGGGTGAAGGAGGATGGTCTGCGGTGGGTCCTCGTGCGTGGCCTGTCTGGATGTGGGTCAGCGCTGGACATCTTAGTTCCTGTTGTCCAACAAACAGGGAGAGGTTGTTGGTCCTTGCGGGGCATGCCTGGCTGGGACGGTTCTGCTGCTGGTGCCTGGTAGAGGGGCTGCCCTGGCCCTGAGCAGAGTGTCCAGGCTCCTCCTGGACACATTCCTCCTGGAGGAATCCTGGAGATATCCTCACCTTTAGCCTGGCTTCCCTTCCCATCAGGGAGTAGTTGGGGATCCCTTGAAGGCATCTTTGCCACCCCACCCCAGCCCCCACTTCCTCCCGGCTCTCCCTGTCATTCTGAAAGTCTTTACTGTTGCAGTTCTGAACTCTAGAGTCAGCCAGCACCTGACATAAATGTAAATTCTCCTGGGAGGGCAATGCTTGCAAGCACCAGAGTTTATCAGTGCATCAGGTGCAGCTGGAGAAATGAGGTGTGAGGCTCAGAAGGAAGTAGTGGAGCACAGGAAGGTGAAGGAGACAAAGGCCCTGCTTCCCCGTAGTGTAAGAGAGAAACTGTCCCAAGAAGAAGGGAGGCAGGAACTAACACATTCCTTGCTACCCCTGCCTTGAATGCCAGGGACTCTTTAGGGGTCAGCCACAAACAGATACATCATCTCTCTGTGTGCTTTGGGACTTGCCTGAGATGAACATTCTGAAGAAGGAATCCCAGCTGCGGCAGGAACAGATGGTGCAGTGGGGGCAGCCAAGGGCGGCAGCAAGTTTGCTGGCTGGCTCGAGGAGGCCTGGGGCCTAACTCCGCCCCTGCCCCTCACTTGATGTGACTCTGGGCAAGTCCCTCAGGGCTCCCTAGTGAAGAAGGCTGTTGGGGGGGGGGGGCGGGGAGGGAGTCCTGCAGCAGGCTGGGTAAGCCAAGGCCTGCTTCTCTGCAGTGGTGAGGATGGAACCCTGTCCTGGTCAGCAAGGAAGATTTATTTTCCTATTTATTTGTCATTTCAGCTGCAGACAGCAGGCCTGGCCTGCCGCAGCCAACCCAGTGTTCATCCTTCTCTGCTGTAGCTGTTTGCCTAATTTATTTAGTGGCCTCCCTGGCTGTAGCTGGGTCATTGTGACCTCCAACCCATTTTCCTCTGGCCTTCCCTTGTTTCAGGGCAGGGAGAGAAGGGCACCACTGAACCCCCAAACCTGCCTGCTCTAACTAGGTTTTGCCATCCATCGCATCAAGACAAAACATATAAGACTTTAATGAACAGGAACTTTAATACAAACACGAAAGACA